TGCAAAACTCCCCAACTTATGTACATGCAACATAATGCTCTTTTTCCACACAAGATTTTGACATATTATTTCTTTTCATTCATCACTTGTTTCTAGGGGTGTTTGGTTTCAGGTACCCTATATTTTTTTAAGGAACCAGAACTAGAACCAGAACCAACGGTTCCTTAAAATTTGGAACTAGAACCAGAACCTGTAACAATGGTTCTGGTTCTGGGTACCCTATAAAATTACAATGCCCCCCAAAAGTTGTTAAAATGGCAAAAAAACCATTAAAAACTTACAAATACCCCCCACTTGGCACTTGTTAACAAAAATAAAATTACAAATTACAAATTCAAAATTATAAACTCCATTACTTTGTAAAGGTAGATTCTCAAAAGTCAAACTTTAAATGTTATGAAATATAAATATAAATGTACTCACATTACTTTTTCTACAAAAGTCTTTATTAACCCCCATTATCTTTAATTTTATTTTATATTGGTCTTGATTCCTGGTTCTAGTTCTGGTTCTGGTTCCTAATTATAGGAACCGGAACCTACCTGTTCAGTTCCAAAAATTTGGAACCGGAACTTACCCATTGACGGTTGGTTCTGGGTAGTAACCAGAACCAAACCCTGGGTACCCCCCGATTCTGGTTCCAACAGGTTCTTTTGAACACCCCTACTTGTTTGTCTCTCTCTCTTTTTTTTTTTTTTTTTTTTCTTGTCTTAGCTTCTTAAGCTTTCTAGAAGGTCCGTGTAACGGGCTTTAGGTCAATGACTCCCAAACCAGATGGCTACAGGGCACTAAATGTAGAACACTCCTCGAACTTACTCACCTGAACCAATTAGGCTACAAGTCAAGACTTTATTTCTTTATTTATTTTTTATAAAGCTTATGATCTATGTAATGAATTCTTAAGCTTTCTAGAGGACCCATGTAACGAGCTTTAGGCCAACCGCTCCCAAGCTAGATAGCTTTAGAGGATTAGGTGTATAACACCCCTCGGGCATACTCACTCGAGTAAACTAGGCTACAAATCAAAACCAAATCATCAAGGACTAAAACACTAAAGTATGTGGGAGACTTGCATAAACACTAAAACACATGACATTTACACAAAACGGTGTCTAACCACAACTATGGACAAGCCTAGCACAAAATAGAACCAATAGTGCAATGTTTAAAACCATGTTGTAGCAAACAATTTTCAAAAACCTCACAAAACCCTTCAACTAGCATCTCAATTGCTTCTAAAATGGTGATTATGCATGCATGCATGAAAAATTTTAAACATAACTCACTTTAGTTCACTTTAACCACTTTTGGACTTACAAGAGTAAGATTCAACATATTTCCAACAAAAAACAACATCATCATGCCATAAAAATTTAAGCACAATCCATTCAACACACAATCTCCACAAAAGCATCATTAACAAGACTTCACAAAAATATCATAATCTCCACAAGAGCATCATCAACAACACTTCACAAAAATATCACAATCTCTGCAAAAGCATCATCAACAACACTTCACAAAAATATCACAATCTCCACAAAAGTCTCATCATCAACAACACTTCACAAAGATATAAAATCAAATCAACACTCCCCAACTTCAAATGTCATTGTCCTCAATGACCCACAACTACAAACATCCTCCCCAACTTAGCATCAAATGATCTCAAATGGCAATATAATCAATAACTTTAAAATTGTCCAACATATTTGAGAAACAAGAAATCTAACAATAACAGCTTATAAGGTGGAGAGATGCAACCTGAGGAACATTGGTGGGGTTGTCACCAACGGAGTTCATGGACATGTGTAAGCAAAGCCTTGGACTAGTTAATGAGTTTCCAAACATGGCAATTCCTGCAAAGACAAAAACGACAAAAACATAAAAGCAGTAAAAACATAATTACAAAGGTGGGTTGCCTCCTACAAGCTCTAAGTTTAAAGTCTTCAGCCAGACTCATAGCACTAAAATGGCTAATGTTGTTCTAAAAAAGAACACTCCTCAATCAGCTTTCCATCAGTAATGCCATCGACATAAGGTTTAAGTCATTGGCCATTAACCTTAAAAACTTGTCCCGTTTTTGGGTTTTGGATTTCAACAGCTTCGTGAGGGAAAACATTAAAAACAATAAAAGGGTCATCCCATCATGACCGAAGCTTCCTCAGAAAGAGGCGTAGCTTAGAGTTAAAGAGCCACACTTTTTGATTAGGAGAGAATGACTTCCTAACAATGTGTTTATTGGGAAAAGCTTTAGTCTTCTCTTTAAAGATGCGAGAGTTCTCATAAGCTTCATGCCTTAACTCATCTAACTTCGAAAGTTGGAGTTTCCTATGGTCACCGGTCGTAGTCATATCAAAATTTAATTTTCTTGTGGCCCAATATGCTCTATGTTCAAATTCTACAAGTAAATGGCATGCTTTCCCAAAAACCAACCGATAAGGGGACATGCCAACAGGGGTACGATATGCGGTTTGATAGGCCCAAAGTGCATCATTCAGATGCACTAACCAATCCTTACGATCGGGCTATACCATTTTCTCTAAGATAGTCTTAATTTCCCTATTAGCACATTCCACTTGTCCACTAGTTTGAGGGTGATAAGGTGTGACAACTTGATAGGTGATTGAGTACTTTTTCAATAGTGAGCCAAAGTGCCTATTGGTGAAATGTGAGCCACCATCACTGATGATGGCGCACGGATGACCAAAATGGCTAAAGATGTGCGATTGAACCAAGTTGACAACCACCCTATGATCATTGCTCCTAGTGGCAATGGCTTCTACCCATTTAGACACATAATCCACTGCAAGCAATATATATTCAAAGCTAAAAGATGAGGGAAATGGACCCATGAAATCAATACCCCACACATCAAACACTTCCACAATCAAAATAGGATTTAGGGGCATCATATCTCGTCTACCAACATTTCCTACTTTTTGACATGAAGTACAAGCATGACAATAAAAAAATGCATCATGAAAAAGAGTAGGCCAATAAAAACCACACTGTAGGACCTTTAAAGCAGTCCTCTTGCCACTATAATGACCACCACAAGCATAAGAATGACAAAATGCAAGTACACTACTAAACTCGTGGTTGGGAACACATCTCCTAACTATCTGGTCTGCACACACCCTGAAAAGGTTCGGGTCTTCCCAAAAATAATGCTTGATGGTTGCAAAGAAATGATCTTTCTAAGTTTTCGTCCACCCTAATGGTAATTATTCTACTGCCAAGTAATTGACTATATGGGCATACCAAGGTGCTTTGGATTGGGATATTGCAAACAGTTACTCATCTGGGAAAAATTCATTCAAACATTAACCAGGGACATACTCTGTAAAGAGTCTAGACAAGTGGTCGGCGACCATATTATCACTACCCTTTTTATCTTTGATTTCTAGATCAAACTCTTCCAACAACAAAATCCATCGAATTAGTCTAGGCTTAGTGTCTTTCTTAGCTAACAAATACCTAACTGTAACATGGTCTGTAAAGACAACTATCCTAAACCCAAGAAGATAAGACCGAAACTTATCAAGGGAAAACACTACTGCAAGCAACTCTTTCTTTGTAGTGGTGTAATTACATTAAGCATCGGAGAGGGTCTTGCTTGCATAGTAGATCACAACGGACTTTTTATTCCCCTGTTGGCCAATGACTGCACCAATGGCATAATCCGACGCATCACACATCACTTCAAAAGGTAGGTTCCAATCAAGAGGTTGCATGATGGGTGCTGTGGTTAATGCTTCCTTCAAAATAGTAAAGGCAATTATACAAGAGTCATAAAAAACAAATGGCACATCTTTAGCAAGCAAATCACACAAAGGCTTGAAGATCTTGCTAAAATTCTGGATGAAACGCCTATAAAATCCTGTATGGCCTAGGAAAGATCTAATTTGTTTGAACGACGAAGGCGGTGGTAGTTGAGAAATCAACTCTACCTTTGCCTTATCCACTGCTATCCCCTCCTTGGAAACTACATGACCTAAGACAATTCCCTTTTGAACCATGAAATGGCTCTTTTACTAACTAAGAACAAGATTTGTCTATTTACAACATTTCAACACCAACTCAAGTTTTTTGAGACAATCATTGAAAGATGCACCAAACACAGAAAAATCATCTATGAAGACTTCAAGGAATTGACCCACCATGTCAGAAAATATCAATAACATGCATCTTTGAAATATTGCTGGTGCGTTGCATAACCCAAAGAGCATGCGACGAAAGGCAAACGTACCAAAAGGACATGTGAACGTGGTCTTTTCTTGGTATTCGAGGGCAACTGGTACTTGGTTATATACATAATAGCCATCTAGAAAATAATAGAAAGCTTGCCTTGCAAGTTTTTCTAAGATTTGGTCAATAAATAGGAGCGAGAAATGATCTTTCCTAGTGGCTAGGTTGAGCTTCCTATAGTCAATATAAACTCTCCATCCTGTGGGAGTATGGGTAGGAATTCGCTCATGTTTTTCATTTTCAACAACGGTGAGGCCACTCTTCTTAGGTACAACATAGGTCAGACTCACCCATTGGCTGTCGGATATAGGATAGATAATACTCGCATCAAGCCATTTGATCACCTCTTTCTTCACCACCTCTTTCATGTTCGAGTTTAACCTTCTTTGAGCTTCATACACCGGTTTAGCATTCTCCTCACAAAATATGCGATGCATGCACAAAGAAGGGCTAATCCCTCGCAAATCGGCTATCGACCAACCGATTGCTTCCTTATGGGCTGTCAAGATTGCCACTAATCTCTCTTCTTGCTCACTATCTAAGTTGGTGGCAATGATCATGGGTAAGGTCTTATTGGGTCCTAGGAAAACATACTTTAGAGTATCAGGCAAGGTCTTCAACTCTAAGACTGGTAGAGACTCAATTGACCTCTATTGTGTCGTCTTATACAAAAGTGGTAAGGGTTCATACTTGATGTTCCAAGGTCGACGCTCTAGAGTGGGAGACCTAGCCATATACGCACTAACCTCCTAAATCTCAGACACGACACTCAAGCTACATATCTCCTCAACAAACAGATTCATAAGAGTGTAAATCGCATCGTCACATGACATTTGTGGGGCGTGAGCTTCCACTAGACTATCAATAGCATCAACCATGAAACACTCGTTATCATCCTCACGCATTGGTCCTAAACCCACATTAAACACATTAAGTCTCAGTTTCCTATTCCCAAAAGACACTTCCATCTCTCTTGATCTACAGCTAATGCAAGCATTTGCCATTGCTAGAAAAGGTCTCTTTAAAATAATCAGTGGCATACTTCCACTTCTCGTATACTCCATGTCTAAGACAAGAAAATCCACCGGAAAATATAGTTCCTCAACCTTAACAAACACGTCCTCAATTAGGCCCCTAGGCATTTTGACCGATTGGTTAGCTAACTGTAGTATGACTTCAGTCGACTTGAGCTCACCTAAGTTAAACTGTTCATACACAGAAGTAGGTAATAAGTTCACGCTCGCCCTTAAGTCTAAGAGTGCTCTATTAATCGTGACATTACCTATCACACAAGAAATACTAGGAGCTCCAGGATCCTTTAACTTCGGGGGAATGCGGTTTGAGACAACCGCACTTACATTTTCCTATAAATATACAGTCTTAGTGTGTGAGATTTCATTTGTCTGTTTTGCGTGCATAAGTCTTTGAGGAATTTGACATCAGCAGGTACTTGCTTAATGGCATCTAAGAGTGGAATGTTAATCTGCACCTGCTTAAACAACTCAATCATTTCCTCCATCCTAGCGCTTTTCCTAGTAGTAGGAACATTTGGAGGCTCTAAATACTGAGGAAAGGGTGCTCTCGGTATGTACGATGCAGGGGATGGTTCATTCTCCCCAACTTTCTCCTTACCCGGTCTCTGAACACTTGAATCTACAAGTGGCTCACTCTCACTCTCTTTGGCTTGGTCTCTACCTAGATTTTCCTCTTCTCTACCTTGGAATTTTACTTCTCTCTCAGGCCTAATTAGCTCTCGGCCGCTCCGAAGAGTCATCACGGCCTTCGCTTGTTCGAAAAAACCTTTCTGCTGCGAAGAACCACTAGTGTTACCTATGACTTGACTAGGCAATTGGCCTTGTTCCCTCCTATTGATTGCTTCGGCTATTTGACCAATCTGGGTCTCTAGCTTACTAATGGATTGGGAATGAGAATGTAGAAGTTGGGTATTCTGCTCTAAATCTTGGAACCTAGTATTTATGTCAGCTTTTTGTTCCTGCATGGTTTGGAGCATTTGAGCCATCATTGATTCTAGTGAACTAGGCACTGGAATGGGCTGCTCAATGGGAGGTGGGATCCGAGGTTGGATGGGTGGTTGGATTGAAGGTTGCTCCCTATAATTGTCTTGTTGATTAGAAAGATTGTTCCTGTATGGCATATTATTAAGGGCATTCTGGGGTGGTTGTGACTTCCATGAGAAATTAGGGTGGTTACGCCACCTAGGATTGTATGTGTTCAAGTACTGATCGTTCCATCTCTGGAAGCCTTGTGCAACTTGCACTTGCTCTTCAAAAGAGTCAAGGGCAGGTTCCTCAACTGGATGGTCAAGAGTGGAGTGCATGACAAAAACATCCTAGTTCGCCTTCTGAGATGATTGTGTAGAGGGTTGCCCTTGTATAGATACAAACTGGTCAAATCGGTGGGCCAATATCTCTAACTTGGAACTAATGTCATCTAACCGTGACACCTCATACACGCCACCCTTTTTGGATGGCTGCCTAGAGATAGGCATTCTAGACGCAGAAATGTGGTGTATTGAATTTTCACTTAAGGTCTCGAAGAGTTGCCATAACTCATTCTCGTCCTTGTGCATAAATGTTCCTCCACAAGAGGCGTCTACCATATTCCTATGCCTTTCGGTCAGTCCGTCATAAAAACTACGAACTAATTGCCACCTAGGGACTGCGTGATGGGGACACTTCTTAAGCATTTCCTTCAAACGTTCCCAACTCTCATAAAATTCCTCGCCATCTAGTTGAGTGAAACTAGTGATGGCTCATCTTATGTTGTTGGTTTTACCAATTTTTCAGGAATTCTTGTTGCATTTGGGCCCAAGAGATAATGGACCATGCAACCAAAGAATTGAGCCACTGTTTGGCTCGATCCTTAAGTGAGAATGGGAATAAAATTAAGCGCATGACATCATTCACATTTTGAAGTCTAACTATAGAGCAAACCTCTAAAAATTCATCTAAGTGTTTGTATGGCTCCTCATTTAAATTCCCATAATAAATTGGCAGCAATTGGATGACACTAGTTTTGATCTCATAGTGTTGTGTCTGGACATTGGGGATACTGATACATGAGGCTGAAGTATAGGTGGTGGGCGCGAAATGTTGGCTAAGGGGCACATGTGCGGGTTCATCCTGGTCAGCCATCCTACGTGCTTGTTTTCTATTCCTCTTACAAGTGTGTTCAATTTCAAGATTCAAAGGTAATAACTCTTCGTTACAAGACCTTCTAGTTTGCATTCATCAATCAAACACACAAAAGGCTCAACAAGCAACGCAACAACAATCTCAAAGAAAATTAACTAAATACAAATCCTAAGAAACAAATTTTAATAAGCACACGAAACAAAACTAAAACAATAAAAAATCTAACGAAACTATACCCAACAAAATTTCACACAACAAATATACTTAATCAAAACTAAAGTTATCAATGCAACCTAAAAGAATTTAATACTAAGAACAAAAATTAAATTCTAGGAATAAAAAAATCAAAGGTTAAGAGAATTTCATAATCGGGTCGTGCAAGATCTTCAATGCTCACGACACGCTGCAGCGTTTTCCCAATTGCAATTTTCCTACAAAACAAAAACAAACAGAAATGAAACTATTCCAATGAAAATAAAATAAAACGAAGTAAAAATGAAATTACGCCAACAACCTAAAAATAAAATAATTAACCAAAATGCAAAGAGCCAAACTAAACGGAACACAAAAATTAAACAATTCACCCAAACAAATAATCATGACAAAGAAAATAACACAAACAAAAACAACAACTAAAATAAACCTAGAATAAAAACTAATGACTACCCAAACACACAAAGTCAAAAGCACGTTGCTCCCAGGCAATGACGTCAAAATTTTGTTGAACCGGTCGTCACAGTCACAAAATTAAACCTAAATACCGTAGTTAGCGGTAAGCAGGGTTGAATTCACAGAGAGCAAGACTAGCAACCTAATGTATTTTGAGTAGCGGAAATGAAATTGGAATTGTGATTAATTAAACTAAACAAACTAAATGCAAATATTAAAAGTGTGAAATTAAAACAAATGAAGACTTTATAATGTTATGGTTTTGGTTCGACACGAGACCGACTCACACAATTCTCCTCCACTTTCTATGATCCCCTAAACCTACAAGGCAAGGTAAATCAATGAAATGGCTTCCTGGCACTCTAGGTATAATCTATCATGTCTCACCCGATCACTTAAGTCCGATTGGTTAAAGACTATCATTGAACGTCGATAAACGCTACACGACAATACCACTAGTTGGTACGTGATGAACAAATGCAATTTGTCAACACGTATCTTCCAATCAACCAACTTCACAATAAATGCAACAACAGTAGAAATGAAATTAAATCTGAACACAATTCAATTACAATCGATGCGAAGTAATGAAAAGCAATATTCATCATTCAATTATTTCAAACCAACGTTTATCATTCAGCAAGTTCTGTGAAAACATTAAATCATAATGGACAACAATATTCATCACAAATTATGCTCAAATCATATTAAAGTATCAAAATCAAACATGAAACGAAAACAAATATAATTCGAAACACAATACTACCAAATGTCCTACAATCGGGCTCATCCAACTAGTCAAGAGCTGATGAGTAGAGTTGTGGAGTCAATCTCGATTTTGCCTATGCCGTAACAGACAACTGGGAACTTAGTCGCTCATGGTGGTGATGACGGAGGCTGAAACGATGGAAACGAAGCCGATCATGGCGGAGAGAAGCTAACCGATAGTGATATGAGGCAAAGAAGGGGCGAAAACAACCAACGGACAGCTTGAAATACGAACAGTCGCACTTGCTAGAAAACATTAATTTTTCGACGAGTCTTCGAGAAAATGGTGGCGGAATGTGATCCAAAGGTACTGATGAAAAGCTCTGATGATGGGGAGTTTAGATCAGGTCCTGGGGAGGTGAAAGGTCACCAGAAATGACCAAGATCTCGGCTAGAAGATGAAGAGGTGCGGCGATGATTTGGCAGATTTAGACTGTTTTTGCGGCGGTTGAAGCTTGGAATGGGTAGATCCGACCGTGGGAAAGGAAGATCAACCTCCAGGGAGCTGAAACGTCACCGGAAACTGGGGAAATAATGGCTGGAAGATGAAGAGTCGCGGTGGCAGAATGCGAAACATCGCGGTGGTGGTGCGTGATTTGCGGTGGTGATGGCGGCTGATGAAGATCGGTGTACAGGGAAGATGGATCGTCATCGGAGGCCGTCGGAAAAGGAAGACGAAGCGTCGTTGGAAAAGATGGATGAGCAGTGCCCCCTGAACGCGACCTTTCGTTTTCCTTTTATAGACAAAATGGAAAATTTACTTTGGTCCCTATATGATTGAAAAGTGACAAAATCAATCCTTATAAATATGACAGTTTACCCCCTAAATAGCATAAACATGACAAAATCACCCCTAGTTCGTAAACCACAACCTAATATCAACTCATATCCTTTCCAAAATCATTCCAAACACATTAAATTCATAAGAAAAATATTAGGAAGCGATTTTTGTGAATAAATTCATAAATTCTTTAATTGTCTCAATATACTTCAATTTAATCACACATGGGGTATTTTTATCACCAAAATAGAGTCACTTTCATGACTCTAACATAGTGTGAGTGAACCAAAACCACTTCTGAAAGGAAAATCCGTCTCATTAAACTTGACTTGCTTTGCAATATATAATCTGCTAATAGAAGCCAAGCATAAATATCCTTTGCGGGCAAGGTTGTATCCTAGGAAGGCACACTTCTCAGTGTGATAAGAGAGTTTGTGTCTATGATATGGCCACCAGTAAGGATAGCAACTACAGCAAAAAACTCTCAATTCAGTGTAGGTGGGCTGCTGTTTAAACAAAACAGAATATGATGAGGCAGATTCAAGAACTGAGGTGGGTAATCTGTTATCAGTGGCTATGCTAAAGGCTGCCCACCAATATTTTAGTGGCATACTAGCGTGAGCTAAAAGAGATAACCTAAACTCTGTAATGGTCCTATACTTCCTTTCCACTCTCCCATTTTGTTGGTGTAAATGTGGACATGGATGCCTGAATAAATACCATTTTGCTGTAAATAACCACTAAAGGATCCATATTCACCTCCCCAGTCAGTTTGTAGGCTCTTTAGTTTGTAACCTAATTGTTTTTCCACAAAGCAATGAAATTGCACAAATGCTTCATAAGTTTCAGATTTAAGTTTCAAAGGGTAAATCCAAATAAACCGGCTAAAATCATCAACAAATATGATATAATACTTGAAACCTTCCCTAGAGTTGATTGGAGTTGGTCCCTAAAGATCAGAATAAACTAACTCAAAAGGATCCTTGGCTCGAGAGTGAGAGATAAGGAATTGACATTGTTGCAACTTACCATATTGACATGCTTCACAAAAGAAACTTTTATTTCTGCTTAAAGAGTGTTTTACATTCAGTTTGTCCAAAATGATATGAAGGGTTTTAACATTGGGATGTCCTAACCTTGCATGCCACAACATACACAAATATGAATTTGCAGTTTTATTCAAAGTAGTAGTAGACTGACTATCATCTGTAGAACACTTATTGACCATAGTTGTGATAAGAGCATGAGAAGCCTTTGAAAATTGAAAAACAGCAGGAAGGTATGAAGCTAAACTTAATGATTGATGAACAAGTGAGCTGACAGACTGTGACAATTCAAGCTAGTACAATCCATCCTTGACCATGCCTTGAAGAAGAATAGCTCTACTACACTTATCCTTTACCAAACAATGGTTAGAATGAAACTCCACAATGACATTGTTATCTTTAGTGATTTGAGAGATACTTAGTAAGTTCTTTGCAATATTAGGAACACATAGTATATTCTTAAGATGAATCAATCTAGTTATGTCATAAGAAGGTACCAACATCATACCTATATGAGTAATGGGGATGGAGTCCCCATTCCCAACTTGTATCTTTGATCCTCCTAAGTAGGCAGTTTTGAACACCAAGTTGGATCCATCTGTAGTCATGTGATTTGAGGCTTCAGAGTCCATATACCAGGATTGATCTTGGAGAATTTGTGGAGAGGCTATTGCTTAATAAGAAGTTGTTGAAGACTGAGGTGCTTCATTAGTAGTTGTTTTTGGTGTAAAGCTAATAGAATGATCGGTACTAGTTGAGGTACCAGGATAGTATTGTTGATGTGATACAGAAGAGAAATTTGCAGGAGGTGGTGCATTTGGTTTAGGGATAAAAGGAGTTGAGTAATCATGAAAATCAGCAAAGTTATTGTGAAAGGTATTGGTAGGGTGTTGTGTGTAGTTTGCTACAATTAAGGCTT